AAAAAAAAACATTCTTTTTTTTCCTTTCCCCAAGTCAAAAACTCTATTGCCATCTAATGCTCTCTAACCATACGATACTTTTTTTATTTGAATGAAAAGATAAATATTGAGAAAGTTTCTTTTGTGCTGAATCGATTAAGTTTAATTTTATATTAATTAAGTTTAATTTTATATTAATTAAAATATAATATAATTTTTAAATATTATGGAGTTTTATATGAAAAAATTTCTTTTGAAAAAAGGAAAATTCAAGAGGACAGCCATACCTGAGCACTTGCAGCGAAGGATTCAACTTTTTCATGGCTCCTTTCATCATTACTCAGGTTGATAATATTTCTTCCAATAATTGAGGCAGCTGTAGCGCACCCTTAACGAGCCTTCAATCAAAAGAAGCAAAGACCATGCTTTTCACTCTATTTTTATTTTTCCTTGTTTTCCTAATTATTAAATATTATGAAAATGAAAGGGAGTTCTTTCATGATTGGTGAGGGACTTAGGTCAGTTTTGACCCACCTACCGAAGCAGCTAGAGAACATTAGTTATTAAAGCTAAACTGGAATGCATGAATTTGATAAGAAAATCAGAGAGGGGATATCTTGACCAACATGTAAACAAATATTAAATAGTTTAGTGCATTGAAAAATTTGTAACTTTTCCTGCTGCTCCCCACATGCAACTTTACTAACTGCTTAGACTATCTGCCAATGTCATCCAGTACAATCAACTTTCATTAACACTGCCAATGTTATTCCACTTCAGCAAAGTTGAATACAGAATGCATACAGCATTCACTAAAAATTCATAAATCCTCAGAAGGCAGAAATGAGAACTAATAATAAAATTATCTCAAAAGGCACATACATGACACCATTTGAAGCCATAAATCCTTATGACTGGAATCTCACTCACATTTCCACCTTCAAAGTGAAAATATGAATTGCATACACTTAGCCAATTATTTTTTCAGGTCAAATAGACAGAATAATTGTAAAATCACAAGCTTTCATTTCGAACTACGATAAAACTAACATTTCTTTCATCATAACATAAACTGCAAAATACAATCAAATAAACTTTTTCTTTAAAAGGAATGAATGCACGTTGATTCGTACACTTCGCCAAGTGAAAAGAAATGATAAAAGTGCCTATACCGACATGTTTTGATTGGTATCAACAATTTTTGTGAATTTATCAATTTCTTAGTGTATAAAAAATGATAAATGAGACGGTTGGCAATATGAACGGTGTTGTAATATGCTTATTGTCATCATTGATTTTATTTAATATTGAACATAAATAAATAAATAAAGAACATCTCCATAGAAATAAAATAATTATATCTATATGATTTGAAGCAACTTTAGATCGACACACTGTTAGGAATTCCCTTGCCGGTGAGTCCACCTTCACTAGTAGGAAAAAGCAGAGTATACGGCACCTTCACTGGACCAACCCTGTTCTTCCATTGCTTGTCATTGTTCATTTCAATGATTTTCTCTTCAATCTCTGACAGCCTATTTCCAAACTTTTCAAAGGCTGACAATGGTACCGCATCGGAGGTCCATTCAGGGGTGTCCCTCTGTCCTAGATAAACTTCATCAGACGAATGCCTTGAAAGGATTTCAATGAGGGAGATGCCCAGGAGAGTCTGCAGCTGTGCAGTGATTGTTTTCAGGAAGGCCTTCTCCGGGTTTGTCTCAAGCTCGTGGTACTCCGGAGTGCCCTTCTCTGGCATGAACCTCCTGCTGATTGTAGGGCGGTTGGGAAGGTAGCCAGCATAAGGGTACTGCCCGAAGTTAACAGCTGCGTGGAGAGCTGAGGCAACCCAGATGATGATGGTGCAGGTTTCTATCAACTCTTCCCGAGTTTGCATTTTAGGCCACCATGGCTCGTTTTTCTTGTCACCATGCCCTTCCTCTTTCAATTCTTTCCACCAGGATTGGAGTTCAGGATCTTGTTGAACCATTTCATTGCTTTTGTAGTAGAAGGAGCAATAGTCTCTCACCCAGTTTTCAATTGCTGACCAAATTTCAAGCCCATCAACAGCATATGGATAGTCTTTTATCAGCAACCGGAGACCATGCTTTGATTTTGGATCATCAACCGCCACTCCCCTGAATGAATCGAAGAGGTATAATGTTATATTATATCCATGGGAAAGATTATTAGTAATTTAGGGTCATCAACCACGACTGGTGGTATGGATTAGCCCCTCTGGGAAAGACTATTAGCGATTTAGTGATTTACCTCTTCTTAAGGTCTTGAGGAAGTGCCTGGTCTGGGAAAATCCAATTCTTGTAGATAGCAGATGACATTTCCATGGCATACTTCGCTGGGAAAACTGTTGTCTCCAAAACTCCTCCAGCATTGATCAGGATCTGCCTAGCGAATGCATTTATGTTCATGGTGTCACGGAAGTGAGGATGGAGAAGCTTGTAAATGGGATGAACTGCACTCAATTGCCTATTTGTTGCAATCACGAATGGCTCAATGGCTGCATGAGTGTTTAACCTATGAACATGTTGCAAAGTAAAATTAAAACCCCATTTCAAATTCCATTCAGGATTATTTCAAGTTAAATTTGCTTCTTCTTTGAAGGATTAATACCAGTGGCTTATAAGCTGATGATAGCCAGAGTCATTGATAGCAACATAAGCCTTAGCAAGCTGCCAAATGGAACCTTCAACTCCCTGTTCAGCAGGTGTATATATTTTGCTAATAGCCCCAAATTGATCACCCTCTGGATGCGGTAAACTTAATTCAATCACTAATGGCTTCAGAGTGCCGTCATTTTTCAAGAGAAGAACCGTCCTAGATGCATAAGTCTTTGTAGAAGTAGAGTTTATCCTCCTCAGGTATGGCATCAGTGCGTCATGATGATCTAATATGAATAACTTCTTCTTGTTGATTGCCTGTTAAGTGATCAAAAATTAAAATGATCCATAGTTTAAGGGATGGATCAACAAATTGTGATAGTTCTTTGGAAATTAAGGAACATTAAGAACTTTACCTCATCAATTGATAGTCCATCTAAGTCATTCTCTATTTGTTCTTTGGAAATGGAACTGTTTTGATTACCATATAGTTTAGGATCCAGCTTGCTCGCTGGAGGGAATTCCTGCAATCCATTCATAACAGTTGTAAGATAAAAGAATAAAATTACTCTTTTATTTATTCATAAAGAAAAGGACAAGAAGGAAAATTTCCATTTTCAGAATTAAGTTTTAGTGTTCTGCAGTTACTAAAGAATCAGTGGCAAAAGAAAAACTAATATTTGGGCATAAACTTACTTCAAGAAGACGAATGACAACAGGGTTAATTCCAGCAAGCATTTCTCTTGCAAACTCTTCATCAGTCCTCCATGCAGATTTATCCTCTGTTCACAATTAGTAATATGTCTAAGCAATTACAAGAAGGAAAAAGCGTGTAAAACCCCAAATATGCATTGACCTCTCAAAAATACAATTGTTGCACGTAAATGCTAACCTTGAATCACTTGGGGCATTGGAAATCTGAATAATCCTTCACCTTCAGTTGGTAATACTTCCTTCAACATCTCTAAGGGGATATTCTTCATGATGTCATCAAGCAAGGGGCCTTCAGGAAGCTTGATCCCTCCTTCATAGATTTCAATCACATCTTTGAACGAATCAAACTCATTAGGAGTGCTGTCACACAGAGCTTCTAGCTCAGGTCTGATGAACTGAGCAATTGATTTCAATGCATATGCAAGAAAATCTGACATCTTCAGATGACCAAACCGCTCATCTCTAGGAACATAAATGTTTAAACTCATCGGAAGTGGCAACCTGCTCTCACTGTTAGGATCTGTTAATGGAAGAACATAACATCAATTGTAAGAACCCGAACAACAACAACACATCCTGTATTTAACATGAATTAAGGAGACCTATAAATTTGAATGACAAACCTGATTTTGTTGGTGGTCGACCTGTTCTCCCCCTACGGGGATAAGGATACTCAGCTGAGCCTCCAAGAACATGGCGGGCATATTTCGAACCCTTGTCAGGATTCCCTAGATCATTGTAGTAAGCATAGTCATATACACGGTCCCATTCTTGGAGTTCTCCATTTCCATCCCCTCTCAAAACCAACATCTCTTCATCCCTATACTTTCGTAAGGGTTCAGGCATCTCATGTGGAAGATAAGTCTGGAACAAGAAAAAACAGAAACAGGTTACTGATTATTAAAGAACGAAATTGAGAATTCACTCTTCTTATTACTCAAAAGATGGAATTTTCTGACCTTGTTAGCAAAGAAAATGCGATCTTTTTTGTAATGTTTAGAGGGATAAACCCAGGAGTTGCACACAAAATGAATCCTGCCATGTCCAGGAATATCTTCCAGTGTGACAGTCCTAAGGTAGAATTCACTGTGGTGTTCATTTACTATCAGGAAAGCTCCAGGTTCCCCAATCTCCTCATCCCAATCAAAAGTAACCTTGAAGGCAGACTCCCCTGCTGTTAATGGAGTAATTGTAGTGATCCAGTCTTCCAAATAAGCTGCCTTTCCAAGTTTTCCTTTCAACCCATTTGCTACATTACAGAGATTAATACCAGATACCAATGTCATCAAATTTCAAGCAGATTAAAAAAAAAAAAACAAAATTGCAAAGTAGAAACGCAGTCAGCTGTGGGACCCACTTTGCTAATAAAGGAGCTAGCAAAATGAGGGAAGAGGACGAGGAAGATCAAGAGAAAAAAATGAAAAGAGCCGTTGACTTGGACGTTTGGTTCCACTTTGTAGTTTTGTTAGGCTTTATTAAGCATTATTAAGATCGGAAAATGAAAGAAAGCAGCTTGCTGGGACCCCCTGGTGGATTCAAGTTTTCAATGTCTTGAAGCGGAAAGATCAAACAAAATTGTAAAAGTAGAGTGCAGGATACGTTCTGTGACAGTGTGACCATTGAGTTTATCACGGCCACAATATTGGCCTCCAAGCAAGCCATGAATACAACTATACAAGTACGGACTACAGGTCCTCTCCTCCAATCACGTAAAATCTTCTTTTTTTTTTTCTCTTTTTCTTGAAATAATCAATTCCAAACATTTTTTTTCTTTGCAATAAAATATATATTAAAAATATTTTATGCAGCTTGATACAATTTCAACTATGAAAAACAAAAACGCCTTCTGAACATATATTCTAAACAGTAATTGATAGTTCAAATGTTTAATCATGAAGCAGAAGAAAAAGAAAGAAAAATCAACTCTACCAGTGTCTTTGATAGCAAAGCAAGAAGAATTTTCCCCGAAAAAAAAAAAGCAAGGCATGAAGACAAACATAAGACCCATGTTTTCTATCTCTTTTTCTTCTGAAGTTTTTTTTTTTTTTTGGATGAGACAAAAAAGCAAGCTACTGATTTTGTTGAAGTTCACCGAAGAAACCAAGCAAAAAGACCCATGTTTTCTTTCTTTCTTGTGAAATTAATGTTTTTAGAAGAGGCAAAAGAACAAACATATAGAGAACTCACCATGGTCGCCATTTTCAGCGCTGATGAGTTGCAGGGAGACTCTCCGGCCAACGAGCTCGTGAAACCGGTCAACGATCGACGCATTGAAATCATTAAAGTCGAGAACATTCTTCTTCATCAACACCACGGTACCGCTTACCTTCTTCCCTCCATCACCACCACCATTCTTACTTGCAGCAGCCGCCTTGACCTTGTCAACGATATGGCCCAACATACCTTTCTTGGTTCAGAAGAAAAAAAAAGGAGGAATATGAAGAGAATTGATCGAGAATGAAGGGATCAGGGAGGGGAAGGTGGAGGTATTTATAGAAGAATAGAAGAGATGCAGGGGTGAAGATGAAGTTTCCCTAAAATTTCTTTGCAGGTGAAGTGTCAGTGGTAAAAGTGATTTGGTCTTTTATTTTTTACTTCTTATTTTTGACGAAATTGGAAGATGCAAGCTAGCGAAGCCACCCGATTTGACAGGCGCGTGTGCAGAGTGGACTGCGAAGACGCAGCCAGGAAAGCCAACCCCTAATTATTCCTTATCTTGAATAATATTAGTAGTAAATACTAATACTATTTTTTCTTTTTACTTTTATTTTTGCATAAAAAATTTATAAGTAATTTATATTTTTACTTACATATGTAATTTTTTTTAAAAAAATATAAATGTAAGTGAAAAATTTAGACAATATTTAATATAGTTGTGATTTTTAATTTTAGTTTTAATAAATTTTATAATTTCTAAAAATCAAAATTAAAAATTAAAAATCAACATTGGAAATTATTCAAAGAAGAGTGCGGAATACTAGTAGCTTCTTAAATTTGAGTTAGAGTTTTTGAGAGTTTTTAAATCTTAATGTGAAGAGGTATTAAATTAGGGACGGATTTCAATAGTCACTACATCTAATGGCATATATGTTAGAAATGTATAATTAATTAATTTTTTTTTTCAATAATTGTTATAGAAAAAATAAAAATTGATTTTATTTTATTGACCTTTTAATTAAATCATACATATTTCATTGATGTTAAAAATAAAATTAACTCTTGCAATTTTTTATATAAATTAATAAAAAAATATATAATTAATATATTTTTAACTTACATGTCTTTAGAATACATATTAAACAAACTCTACATTCATTAAAAAAAAAAATTACATTAGGAGACTTTTTATGTATTATATTGTGGGTACACTTTCTTTTTTTTTTTTTAACATAAGAATAGGATTCAAATCCCACATTATCATTACATGAGATTATCTTTTACAATATATATAATGACCACTTAAACCACTAGAACTTCTCGGTATGTTGATTCTTTTTAATTGATTTGTACTGTATGATATGAATTTATTGTGAAGTCATGCTCGGATTGCATATTTGTAACAAGAAAACAATTATTTTTTCAAACCCTAATTAGAATTACAAATCAAACAAAAACGAACGCATTTGCCGCCTCAGTTTGAGGTGGCTAGTTTTTCCTAGTCGGGCCGACGACATTTGGTTGGGAACAAGGAGGGGAAGTGTATTGGGCGAATATTATATTAGCAATAATTAATGAGTTGAAGTATTTTTTTTGTACCCTAAATAATACAATAAATAATTTTGCAGTTCGAAAAGAGGTTAGCACTGACAAGATGTATATGTACAATATAACTACTAAAGGCTTAAATTGAAAGAATATTAAAAAAAAAAAAAAAAAAAAAAAACTTGATGAAGAGGTAAGAGAGAAAAAAAATTCAAAGGTAGGTAAGAAAAAGAACCTAATAATTAACCTAACGATTATTATAAAAGTGAATAAACACGATTTAAATGTTTATATCAATATTGTAACCCTCCATGAATTGTTTGATTCTTCTATGTAGGCTGTTATTGATAGGAAAGAAACATGATTATTTGGTGTTCAAATGTTAACCTAATTAAGCCCCCATTGTCATAAAAGAACACCCTAGTGAATAAGGAAGCTCTTTTTGATAGAGGGACACTGATCCACGTTTTCTCTTTTTAATTGTGCAGCCAGCGACCTTTTTGTTTTAAAATATTTTCTGTTTTTTGACATTTTTGAAAATATTGCTGTTTTTGTGCCTAAATTGTACTTAAAAAAGCAAGCAAGATGGAGCAAAAATTATGGCGATAAGGTAAACAATTAAATAAATTTTGACAAATTTTTATTTAAAAATTAAAGTACTTTGACACAACTATATAATTTATGAAAATTAAAAACTTAACAAGTGGATAAACTACAAGTCATTTATTTTATAATTCAGTGTAATACATAAATCATTAAATGAGAAAAGAATCATTAGTATCAAAATTTTATTTATATTTAATAATTAATATTATATAATTTAAAATAATTCAAATTATATAATACTTTTTCCATAAACTAAACATCTCAAAAGAACCTCCTCCTGGCCTAAAGACAGCCAGCTTTTGAAAGTTCACCCATGATGCTGGTTCAAACATCATTCCAAATTTTCAACTCAAGGGTACTACGTACTAAAAATTTTTTTTATGGGAAGCTACTACTAAAATTTTGAAGTCTTAAATGGTGTTTTTTCTTATTAAAGTAGTTAGGCTTTGGTTTTGACTACACGCCTGCATAAAAGCGCGTGGTTATATATTACCATATTATTCTTGTTAAAAGTAGAATATGGAATTTGTCCGGGGAAAAGAAAACCACGGAATTTTTTTGTGAAAAAAACGTGGAATTTGTCCTAAGCATCTTCTTCTTATCTTTTCTTTTCTTTTTTCTTTCCTCGTCTAATCGGAAAGACTTTTTGCAAAAAGTTCTAAAATTAAAGAAAAAATGTCAAAATGTGAAAAAAAAATGACATCTACTGATAATATATATAAAATAAATAGTATTTTTTTACATTAAAATAATTTTTATTTTTTATTTTAAATTTATTTTAAATTTATTATTATTATTATATTTTATAAAGTAGACAAATAATTTTTTTACTTTAATTTTATCATTATCTATTTGTTTTAATAAATAATATAAGTACATATATGAATTATTTTTAAATTTTTAATTTATAAAAAAATTAAAAAATAATAATTAATTTAAAATAAAAAGAGTAAATAATATATGAAAATTTCTTTTAATAAACTAAAACTATTTAATAAGAATTACATATTAAAAAGTAAATTTTATTATATGTTATATAAAAGTAGTGTTTAAAGTTGAATTTAAAAATATAAAATGGGATAAAATACCTAATTTTAAATGAAGGGAGTAGTAACTTATAAGTTACAATGCATAATATTCCTCCTCCAATAACTTCTCCACTTTGAGTCATCAGATATCATACTTTTTTTAAAGAATGTTTTTTTTTTTTTTATAAGGACAATGATTAGTAGGTTAGTATTGTTAAATGTTACCAATTGAAGATTTGATCTCCAAATTTAATGAATAATCCACTAACTTTAATAAAGCACGTAACCATCAGACTATTTGGTGGAGTTATAAGAAATGTTAGGTATGCTAAACGGATGGTCAAGTGTACTGCACCAACACTCGGTCTTTGATCGGCTGCGTCCTCCTGGCACTCATCTAAATTTTTTTATGATAATTCTTGCCATGCTGATCTCTAAAATCTCTCCCTTTGATTTTTTTCTTCTAATGAAATATTTTAATTTGTATTCTTAAAATGTAAGTTAAGTATCATTAATTATAATATTTTTAATTAATTTTACATAATTTTTATATTATATTCAATTAAAATAAAATAAAATATTTATTTTTAAAATCTATAAAAATGTATGAATTACTTATACAAATTTATGTAAAATTAATTATAAATATTATAATTAGTGTGATTTAATAAATGTCCTAAAAGCATACCTTAAACAAACTCATTTTTATTTATTTATTTTATATCAATAGCAGTGCCATTTCGAGTACCAAAGCAACTATATATTGCTGCGGGTGCAGTTTATTATATGTGGTTTGTTTGATGGTGTTTGGCATAGGCATAATATAATACTAGCTTATGTACCCATGAAAAAAAATTGTAGCTTAATACAAAGCTTTGACACATTCTTGTTGAAAGGTAGATCGCGCGTTAGGAAATTATAATTATTTGGACCAACTAATCCATTTGAAAAAGTACTAACATTTGAAATTCAATTTTGACGTCTACTAATTTCACCATAATCTTCCATCAAAAAATGAATTTCACGTTTATCTTTCTCCCTTTCTCTTTGTTGGAAAACGAAGCTATTGGATCTCTAATTTCTAATGTTAAAAACGTGGGTGTTTGTGGATGGAGTGCTTTGTAAATAGGCGATTATAATGGATGTGAGATTATTTCACATAATTAAAATTTGAATTTAATTGTTAAAATTAATTAATAATTATAATTGTTAGTTAATAAACAATGAAATTATTGATATTTATTATTTAATAAATTAAAATTAATTTATATAATAACATTTTTATATTTGATAATATGTAGAGCATGCTATCCTT